GTCATCGTTAAAAGAAAATGTAGGCCGTGTATTATAAAATATAATATTTGAGTTACGTACACAGCAGAGCTCCCTGTGTAAGACTTCGTCACGGGAATTACTTCCATTATACCTATTACTGCCACCAAGAAGTAATTTCATAATTACTGCATTCCGGACTTGGTGTTAGTGAAACTGCAGGCTGGAACTTGCTAACTTAATATCTCAGAGTGACAGGTGCAGTGGCTCTTCAGGTCTTTGCGATTTGGAGCTCTGACTAGCACTGCAACTGTTATGAACAGACGTGTCGCTTAACACCAGTGCCACGACTTGTTCGACCCGTCAAGCGGTATCATAAATAAAAATTGGTGCAATTTTTTAAAATCAGCCAGCCCACATTGATGTCTACTTTAGACTCTTGTCTCTCCCTTGGCTGGATTCCTCGGCAATGGCACAGTCGGTCGGGGTCAGGGACTCTAGTTCAAGAACCATTAAAATACGTCCTGTGTCAAGCAGGACCGCTTTCTGCATTGAGCTGGAACCGTCTCACTAACTGGAATTAACCGGTTTGCAGACAAAACAATTATTGTTATTATTATGCACTTCAAATCTATTAGGTTATTGTAAAAAGAACTCTATGTAAAGAGGTAACTTAACCAAATTCCAAGTACACATTATAACTTATTCTATATGCGTAATCGATCAGTTATTTCAAAATGTCAGTGTGTCAAAATTAAACCATATTGTAGTTGCGACGTTCGAAATTGTCGTGGGAGTGTGTGTCGTGGTCGAGATTCTTTATATGTCGTCGTATGATCGTTATATACTGTATATTCATTAAAAAATCCTCTAAGAATCTTTAAAGGCATAGAAATGATTTGAACATTGTGGATATTCCAAAGATTCGCACGAAGCGTTAGATACGCCTCCACGTTTATATGGCAAACGGCTGTGGAGTAGAATCCCATGCCTGCACACCTACCCCATGAACTACTTGGGCCCTTTCAAGGCGAGAGTTAATAGGCATAATTTAGGTGTGCATCTTCTAACATCTACGTCATCGTCACTTTTCATCACAAGAGATTTTGACATCACAAATTTAGGAATAATCGCGTAACACACACACACAAAAAGTGTTAAGGATCTCCTCCTTTTTTTGAAGTCGGTTAAAAACAAAAATAAAGAACAGGCAATATTAAAAACAGAGTAAGGATAGGAGAAAATAATAAATTAGAGTAGGTATAAGGTAATGGTATACTCTATGCTGTCCTCTTCTTCAGACGCCATCAGGTTGAAATCGAATAAACAAATGAGATCGAGAAGATGATGACATTATTGTCATCATCCACAGTCCGAACTCACCCACTGCTGGATATAGGCCGTCCATTCATCTCTACTGTATAAATAGTACTAAAAATCTATTATAATTTATATTTTAAAACTTTAAATAGGCCATTTATCTGTCATATCCCAATTAGGACAAACGTACTGGCAACAATAACATTTCCTAAAAAAACCCGTGCACAACTGTAGATAAGCAGCAAGACTTTGGTCCAAATACGTCTCCCTGAAGGACACCCACGCGAATGCCTTAATATGAATTTGCCTAATACGTCCCCCTGAGGAACCCGTAACAATATGACTCGACACAAGTAGAATAAATACACCTTACCGCTATATATAAACAGTTATATAACAACATGATTAATCATAGATAATTGTTACTACTATAAAAATCATAATCACATTACATAAAGATAGATCATTCAAATAAAGATCTTCAACAAGTGCGTTTGATCGATTACCATCATTGGAACATTAATCATTTCGTTATTGTTTTGTGAGTAACTAATCTTGGAAATTTAACGGTATTTAATTGTGCTATCTATCACCGACGCACATATCTAATTTTTAGGACTTTTTTTAACCGATTTCAAAAAGCAGGAGGTTTTCCATTCGACTGTATTTTTTTGTGTGTATTTACTCGACGATTCTTTTTTTGGAAAGAAGGTACCTCAGTATTAGTTCTATTTAAATTTGAAGAAAATATTCCAGCCCTAAGAGTCGTAAACTAGAGGATGAATCCGGTTTCGCGCACTTTTCGGTAACCAATTTCAATAAAACTTGGCAAATAGATGTAATTTCACGAACATTTGAGGTCCGTTTACCAAGTGATGGGACGAACAAGTTGTGCACCTCGTTGTAAGCGACACCACCCTTTCCCACAACAGGTGCTGTGCCACTCAGAGCTTGAAAACCGAAAAGATCTGAAGGGCACTGCGTCCGTCACCCTACGACATAAAGTTAAAAACTGCCATGTGCCTATAATTTCACCAGCACCTTTACACCACCAAACCGTGATAGGTATGGTGGCAGTACTTCCCTGGACGAACTCTGTCATGTGGGGGGTTAAAAGCAATCTATTACATAATATAAATATATGTAATAGTAGAAATATATGTAAAACGGCCCTATACAAAAATAGCGTTGTTGACATGGCACCCAAAATATTTAATAAATTTCCAGACGCAATAAAAAATCTTAGTGGAATGCAATTCAAGCATGTATTAAAACAATTATTAATTGACAAGTGTTACTATAGCATAGAAGAATATTTTAATGACAGTTTCTTAGAATAGGTAAATGCTGACAGTTGGGTACCATTTAGTTATTAATATTTTTAGACTTTTTAATTATTATTAGTTTTTTGACATAGAATAGAATTGAATAATAGGTAGATGTGCGAGAGTGGCAGAGGTTATAAACGTAAAGCTGTTGTTGCCTGTTCATTCTGATCTTAAAAACAACGAAGTTATATTTGCGAAAAACAAAAAGCAGATGGCAGACTGAACCATTTCCTTAGTTATAACTATAACCATCAAGAGCTAGCAAATTCAAACGCTGGACTTAAATCGGACAACTGATACAGTTCAACATCGTCCACAGTTAATTCAATGGACTTAACACTTCCTATTATGAACAGATCTTTGCAATCTTTGTTTAGTGGTTCTGGTTAAAGAGCATTGACGACTTTGCCCGTTGCAAACTTAAAAAAAAACTTGACATCAATATTAGCGTTCTCAGTAGAAGAGGTTGGATCTTTAGCTTGCCGCATCGAGGCGCGCTTTTACATTGAACACGCTCCTCTATTCAGACGAGTAAACAATGTGTTCTTTAAAATCGATGAGTCACAGTCCTAATGGTCCTTTCTAGTGTGTCACTATGTCAGTGGGTACTGAACAATGATCAGATAACATGCGTGGGCGCACGCTTAAAGGGCAATGTGTGAGATACAAATGGATCACCGGTGTACGGAGAAAAAATATCGCTTTAGAGACTGAACTAGTTATTGGTGTTACTTACCTTTGGATTCATGGCGCAAACACAATCAGAAATTAAGTTGTCGCTTTCTGAGTTCACCTTTTGGCCATCTCTTTTCCGTAGTTTCAGCAGTTTGTCTTGGTATTCCCGTGGAACGGAAAGAAAGCGAATTTTTGTGCATAGACGTAGTCAAAGTCAAAAAACCTTTATTTTCATTGGTAAGCAACATTATTGCAATATTGGTAAAAAAATATAATAAAATACCAGAACATAATATAAAGACCGACAACAATATAGAAAAAATTCAACATGTATTAAAAGAATTTTTGTTATTAAAAATCTTTTATTCTTTTTTCATAATACCAAGTGATGGGACAAACAAGTCGTGCGCCTGATGGTAAGAGACACGCCTATCCATAGCAGTGGCAGTGCCACTCAGAGCCTTAAACCACAAAGATTTGAGGTGCACTGCCACTGTGACATAAGTTGACAAGTCCCATGTGCCTGTAATTTCACCAGCACCCTTTACCTTTCAAAATCGGAACGCATACTGCCTGGAGGCAGAAATAGAAATAGAAAAATGTACAGGATTTGTCATTCTAACCTCAATTTCAGACTGGGTTTCAGGTTACATTACAACTTTAAAAGGTCTGATGGTGTGATTTTAATAATAATGTACGGACAACGGTACATCAGACTACACATTTTTGTTCGAAAATCGCCTCCGGAACAAGAAACGTCAATGTGTCGCTTGATGTTCTGGCGTGTGTACATAGTATTTAATTTTCTATGATACTTAAAGCCCCACTGTCGTAACATCCCAGACATGCGTTTCGCCTTTACAGTTTCTGACGTCTACTAACCAAAACGTGGCTAAGTGACAAAATATTTTTTTGAGATATCACAAAAAAACCATAACCCAGTATTAGAATATTGAAATTGTTTAATGATATTTCAGCTAGGCATCGTTAGGGTAAACAATAACTAGGTAAATAACTAATTTTAACTGTTTTTAAAAGATAATTTTGTGCTCTATTTTTTTCTATTTAAAACTGATATTTCGACCCCTCCGACGTAAAGTATCGTATGTCGAAATTGCCAAGTTTACAGGGGAGCGTTTTAAAGTTCACCGTTTTGTTTGGCAAAACCTCATTACTGACATAGAGTGATTATCTAGTAGATCATCTAACTGATATCTAGGATTTAACAATACTCTATGCGAGTAACTAGCTTTGCCGAACGAAACTGAGAAATGCTAAAGTCACGTGTTATGCTCATTGCAGTGAATTGAGAACTTTAAAACGCTTCCCTGTAAACTTGGCAATTTCGACATACGATACTTTACGTAGGAGGGGTCGATTTGACCTTTTGTCACTAAGGCTCAACTCACACTGGCGCAGAATCGAAGCGTCGCAACTCGTCATGTTTTTCGCCTAAATAGCATATTCATCTCTATTTTTCCATTATTATGGTACAAATTTGTGTTATGCAAATATGGTTACTTGGGCGCAGTGAGGTGTCAGACACCGACCACACTGTGCACTAATACGAGCATTGACACGCGTCGCCAGTCGTTGTAGTTGAAAAACAGGGAGCGACGCGACGCTTCGATTCTGCGCCAGTGTGAGTTGAGCCTTAGCCGCGTTTAGGTTAGTGGACGGCAGGTTTCGTTATAGAGTTCATTTTGATAAAAACAATTATTCAACGTTAAAAATTCTATTATAATTGCCATTTTTGGAAAAAACGCATACAATTCAGTGTTTCAGTTTAAATACAGCTTTAGCGATAGTGCCCGCCTTCAAATCCTTCAAAGCAGTCTGGTATTCAGATAGCGTGTAGGTTTTAACTCCAAGGTTTTCATAGTTCAGGTATCTGGAAATAAAATTAAAATAATAATAATAACGCACACACTCGACATAGCCCCGCACTAGGGAAACCCTGTGTCGTGGATGCCTTGGACACACACATAGACAACCACAAATTACACCCAAACCCACGAGAGAAATAAATATAGGCCATACAAATATTTCTCCCGGCCCCGGAATCGAACCTGGGACCTCTGCGTGGCAGTTCGTCATAGAAATCGTTCGGCCACGGAGGCAGTTTAAAATAAGTATTCCCTCTGAGATTCGACATTCTAAGTCGCTTCCTATTTCAAAACTGGTTTGCGTAAGTGCCTTCTGGCACAGTCTTATTCTGCAACTTATTCCGTATATTTATTACTAAGTGGAAGTTTATTTAAGTATATTTATGTACACAAATATATATGTAGGTATAATAATATGGTTATTTATTATTTGGTAATATTATACCAAATAAAATATAACAGTCCATAGCAAGGCGCGTTCGGAAACGGACGTGCCACTACGCAGTGAGTTAATTACACCTAACTCGCGTTTCGCGCGGCACAAGCCGCTGCGCGTAATTGACAATGAGTTCCCAGCAACTCATTGCCAATGAGCTCCTGGCGTTCATTATACACGCTATCGACACCATGGATGAAGTCAGCATAGTGCAGATATGCAAATCAAATTTCAGTGAAGATGAGATTTGCAGTGGCAAGATGCTGCTTTTCCAGCGTCTCGGTAAAGCCGAAGAGATGCCATCTCGCCGGAGAGATGGAGGCGTGAAGAGTCTCCAAGACATAATCACGCTGCTGAAGGAGACTGACCCGGACGACGTGCCTACATTCGTGGCGAAGGAGCTGCACAAGCTGCCCCCGTCACGTTCGACCACGTCGATGTTACTAGGCTGCGGAAGGACATTCCGTCCCTGGAGTCTAGCCTAGCTGAAGTACAGTGTAAATTAGAGGCTTCGGATAACATCATAAGTGAGCTGCGTACCCAAGTTGCGTTATTAAGCAATGCTGTTTCGGTATGTAGGTCACCAGAAGCCTCTAATGTAAACACACGACGCGGAGCAGCGCTGAATGCTTCGGTGAGCAGTTTCGAGTCGGCACATAATGCGTCACCATTCGTTGCTGCCACCGCACATGATGCGCCGCGCCCCGCTGCCCGCCCCTCTGCCTCGGTGGAAATGTCACGCGTGTGCACGTCAACCCCGACACGTGCATACGCCGCTGTAGCCGCTTCAACTAGCCGACCCGCCACTTCGAAATTCGAGCGGCGGCAATCGGCTAAGGATAAAACCAATCTCCGTGTGCCTGTCTCTGAAGTTGCAAAACCACAGAGGCAGACGGTTCAGTGACGAGGATGGCTTCACAAAGGTGGTGAAGAGGAAGAGGAAGCCCACCAGCCGTAACCAGTGTGGCACAGCACCGACAGGACCGAACTTCCTGCTGCGTCCGGCCGTACCGACGACGTTGATGTACCTGTCGCGGCTGCATTACTCCACGAAGTCTGAGGAGATAGTGGAGTATATCAGGCATAAAGCCAATTACACCCTGAGGGTCGAGCGGTTGGAGTCTCGCCGCAACGTGAACTTTAATTCGTTTGTGGTAAGAATACCGACCGAACATCTTTCGACCTTCATGAAAGAGGAATTTTGGCCGAAGAGTGTCATATATCGGCGATTCCGCGGCCGGTTACCTGACACCAGATTGCGCCGCACGTCGCCGATAAGTGAAAACGTGTAGATTAGTTTTTTATTATTATATTGTATGTATGTTAGTTTTAAGGTATATATAATATAGGTGTATTTTGTTTTTATATTGCTATGTATGTTAGTCTATAAGGTATGTATACATGGGTCTTTTTGTTACCTGATATAAATAAATAAATTAAAAAAATAAATTAATTAAAAATTATAATGTAAGTTTTCATTAATGTATTAAAATTTTAAACACTGGCTCACTACGTCTCTCACTCTCTGTTTAGTTCTCCCACGGAAGAAAAAAACAAAGAAAGTGCCTCGATTTCTATGAGAACCGATGTCGACAAAACTCACATTCTTAATTTGATTTGATTAACGCACACAATCATCGCTCTGCATTAGGGAAACCCTGTATCGCGGATGCCACGGACACAACATAGACAACCACAAATGACACCCAAACTCACGAGAGAAATAAATCGACTCACCCGTAGAACAAAGATCTATGTGCAAGACTACTTGTTCTCAGGACATAGTACAGTTCGTTAGTTCTTCTTCGCTGTGGATGTCAGATTGACCGTTGTTCGACTTTATATTTCCGAAACGAAATAAGATATATAAATTTTCAAAACACCTTTACGTAAGCCTTGTTTTGTATAACGAAATTATTCTCGTAGCGTACTTATTCTCTTTTCGCTATATAATCACATCGGACTTTGTTCTTCGGATGAGTCGAAATGTAGGCCATACAAATATTTGCTCCTGGTCCGGGAATCGAACCCGGGACCGGGTGGCAGTACGGTATGGTAACCGACCTGTCACGGAGGCAGTTAGCCTATTTATTTATATTATTAATATGTTATATACGTTTATTATTTATAATTAAAGTAGTAAGTACCAGGATCTCGGCTCCGAGTACCTATTTTACAGCCTTTGGAGTCGAAACCCTTGGCCCGTACAAAATTTTATCCAAAAAATTAATAGACTGTGGAAATCTGCCTGCCACTGGGTTTCCCAGACACCAAGGGCTCAACGCATTAGCATACCAATACAAAGGGGGAACACTGGCAGCATCTTGGACACCTTGCCGCGGGGACCCAATTTTATTCACATAATTTAAAAATCCTAGTTTTACTTTCTTGTCTTTTTACCTTACCTGTATATTAATGTATGTACATATTAATTTCAGTTTTATTTGGATGTAATAATCTAATAGAATTGGTTTGAATTGGATCGAAACAAAACAAGTCTCTTTCAATGCAATCAGGCGTAGTGTCCTAAGCGCATTTGGAGATGTAAACAAGTTGGTACAGTACCTGTCGCCCATAGCTTTAAGCCAGCCAATGGCCTTAGGGAAGCTGAAGGGGTTGACCCTCACCCCTATTAAAGTCAGTTCCTTGTTGTAGATGTCAAAAGGGTTGAGTCTGAAATGTAGAAATTCATTTCACTTGTTATTTGTACGTTGCGGCGAGAAAGATGTAGAAAAAGAAAAAGAGATGCTCAGGTGGTTCGGTCATAGAAAATTTTAATAACAGTAGAGCCTTGTGAAAGAGTTTGTTCAGGGAAGTACTGCACTTGTTTCTGCCACCAAGCAGTGATGATGGATTTAATATAATTACATACATTACCTCACTGGCTATGATTGTTATACTAGATGTAAAGTTTTAAGTAAATAAATAAGTATAAGCGAAAATTTTAACATCACGATTAAGAATCAATTCCAAAATCAACCAATGCCATCTAGCGCCTTTTGAAGGAACTACAAAATGCTCATAGTTGGTTATAGTAGCGTATAGAGTAGGAAACTTACGAAGCCTGGTGAGTAGGGGGACAGCATCCGAAGAGCACGTATTTACCGCCCTGGCGGAGATAGTTAAAGCTAATCTCCATCACTTTGCCAACACCTGAAAATAATATAACATTATATAAATAATAATAAAGTGCCAGTCGTCTACAGTAATTGTTTGGTGTGACAATTTAGAAAATTTCATTTCTCAAATTGCTCCTGCCGGGAATTGATCTCGGGACTTCGACATCCAACACCCACAGTGCAAACCGTTAGGCCACGAAGTTGTCAAATGATTAACAAGTGCGCGTATCTCCATCTCATCTGGTGCCCAATTCTGCTAATATTCTTGGACTTTTTTTTATGAAGGTTTCTTTTTTAATTTTTTTAAATGTCATTATAATTCCAGTGAGACTCCATTGAAATTTCATTGCAATAGCCTCGGCACTTATGGCTGTATTTCAAAAAGTTAAAACTCTGGCCCATGAGTGAGTGAATAAAGTTTTTTATTGTTATTATTATTTTTAACTGCCTCTGTGGCCGAACGGTTACCATACAGACTGCCACGCAAAGGTTCCAGGTTTGATTCCCGGGCTGGGAGAAATATTTGTATGGTGTACATTTATGTCTTACATGAGTTTAGGTGTAATTTGTGGTTGGTCATTTGTGTGTCCATGGCACTCGCGACTCAGGGTTTCCCTAGTGCGGGACTATGTTGAGTGTGTGAGTTATTAATAGTAATAAAGCTCCGAAATTACCTGTACAATCGATGATGACGTCATAGAGCTGCTTCTCCTTCTCCAAGATATCAGGAGACACCAGCCTGTAGCCCGTGTCTGGAAAAATTAATTAAAATAAGTCTATAAAAACTGTTATAATATGTTTTGTTCTTGTTCAGTTATTATTTAGTTAATTACTAAATAATTTTAACTGCTTCCGTGACTGAACGGTTACCATGCTGGTCTGCCACGCAGAGATCCCGTTCACGGGCCGGGATAAATATTTGTATGCCCTACATTTATTTTTCTCTCGTGAGTGTCCATCGTAACCGCGACTCAGGGTTTCTCTAGTGCTAGTTTTGGATGTCTATTTTAGACTCTTGCCTCTCCCAAGGCGGTAAAGATGAATTTTGAAATTTTAAATGGGAGAGGCGGTATTCCCCGGGTAATGGCACAGTCGGCCATTATTATTATTAATAATTAATTTTAGTGTTCGGTCACATCCCGGACACTCCATACAATTGTCGAAAGTTATTTACCTACTACTGCTACGTACAGCAAGGCACTATAAGACACAAATGTGTGCATAAAGTGGCAGTGTTACCTATCACTATCTCGTATATGACGTTACGTGGTCAGAGCGGCAACATAGCGAAAATTCTAACTCGAATCTGTTATCTATAATTCTATTAATAGAATCCTAATAACTACACATGTTCATTAGGTATTAATATCGATATAATATTATATTTTTAATCAATTCATTAACTAGAATAATATTGAAGATTTATGTAAAAAATATATTAAAAGCACTTAAAAATTTATGTTTTGGACAGGTACTTTTATAAGGTAACCAAGGTATTTGAAATTGCGTGTCCAACTTTATCATTACCTAGTTAATATTTACTACAAAATATTTATCGGCAATACAAATTGAAAATTCGAGAACCCGTGTCTCCTAGCTCACGAGCTTATGGTATCTCATTATATCGATATAATAAATATATAATACGTACATATAATACAGTATACGAATATAACTCTGTACTAAATAAATGAAGAAAAACCATATCTGAACGAGTCTCAGACCTAAGGTTTTATTACGTCGTTTCATCTTCCAGAACACGAAAGAAACTCCTCTCATTATCCCGTTTAGATTATGATAAACAGCCGTACACAGATAGCAACGTACAATTGTTATATTAACGTACAAGTTTCGTAATGAATAAATGACAACTAGTATATTCAAATATCAAAGCCGTCTTAACGCGAAAACGGTTTGCCGACAGCCTTATTGCAGTTCAGTCAATGTGACAGTCAAAGTACGGGGCGTGGTGCGGTACATGGTATGAAGCCATAAATACAAAATGCTGTTGCTGTTGAAGCATAAAATCACCTCGTACAATTGCGAGTTATCATTAAATGTAAACTTACTCAATTTCTTGACAATCTCCAGTCTGCTCTTATTCATCTCGGAGACAGTGACCTCTCTGTGTCCGTGATGGTGCAGAGTGGTCACCCACAGGTTTCCTGGAAAAAGCAAAAACCATAATTTGCAACACGGGACAGTTGTGCACTAAGTCCGATTCTAATCCGAGAAAGTAGGAATATCGCTTGTACACCTAGAGTTAAAATGATCCCACTCGTGACATTTCGGACAGAAGTAAAAAAAAAAACAAAAAAGGCATGTACTCATAGGATTACTATGAGACAAGTAATTTAGTACCGTGTATAAGTTCTGTTCTTATACTTATGTTATGAGTGGGCTGAGATGGTTTCCATAGCATCTTTTTTTAATTATTTATTTTTTATCATATAAAAGACACCTAGATAGACGTCATTTTTAACCGACTTCAAAAAAAGTAGGAGGTTCTCAATTTGATTGTATGTTTTTTTTGTATGTATGTTACGCGAAAACTCCGTTATTTGTGAACCGATTTTCATGATTCTTTTTTTGTTGGAAAGAGGGTACCTCCATAGTGGTTCCCTATAATTTTGAAGAAAATTATCCACCTCTAAGGGTGGCTGTTCACGCATGAAGATTCTTTTTTATAAATAGCGCCTACATTTTAGTATAAGGAGCAATTATTTTAATGGTGGATTTTGCTATTCTTTAATTCAAGGCGTTTTTCTTTCAATATACTTTTCTCCTGTGTCAAATCCCGTATAGTGGCGAACTAGGGGATGAATCCGGGTTTGCGCACTTTCCGATAACCGATTTCAATAAAACTTGGTAATTATATGTAATTCCACGTACTTTTCAGGTCGGTTTTTTTAGTACTCTGTACTGACATTATTTATAATTGTAAGTTTGTGATTACGTCACTAAATTTATCCTACAAATATGACTTACCTGATAATAACAGATAAAAATGTAACTCCGGTAACTAAAGGCCGATTTTCGGAAGAGTAGCCTTCTAAGACCACTCGAATCGAAGGTTCTCTCAGCAGAGCCTGTCAAAGCCTTTAGAAATTTCCGCCATACCATTCTACAGCCTCGGTCCATAAGTGAAAAACGTACATAAGAAAATCTCCGGTAAATAGCCCTCGTCGGAATATATACTGTGCCATCACTGAGGAGGTCGTTGTCTTTATGGTAAGACAGGAGACGATTGTTAAAAATACGTTTCATAGTCTTGCAGAGTATTAAAGTGACTAAAATAGATCTATAGTTGATAGGGTCAGCTGTGCTTCCTTTTCAGGCACAGGTTGCACGTTTGCAAGCGTCTACGACCTGGAAACTACACCAGTCTCAAGTGAAAGGCGAAACAAGGGCACAGATACACAGGCTTCAAACTTATGTACCATATGCCAAGTCTTTAGAATGATTATGTTTTGACAGAATTATAAATTTATTTTTTAAATCGAATGATAAAGCATTTTCATTTGGATTTTAATCCAATAAATCTTACCCAACATCAAAAGTTTACATGCATTACACTATAAACCACGAGTCAAAGATAACTTTTATCCAATAATACCGAATAAAGATAAAGGGCAAAATTTACACAACGTTTGATAAAATACTTTTAGGGCATGTATTCCATGTATAGATATAGATTCGTTTGTATTTGTCCGGTCATCCTGCTAATGGCTTGTTGTAGGTACCCTGTCTTTTGTTGCCTTTATCCTATGTCCTTGTCATTTTTATAGGTCGCTGTAACTTAATAGTACAACATCCTTGTACTAACATCAGTACAAGGATGTAAGTCTTAGCTTCAATTTTAATGTGGCTGTGGGCTTGCACCGAGAATCGGCTTTAAGCCCCAATTTGTTTCTTCTGATTATGGATGCTATAATATCGGACATACAGGAGGAGGCACTCTGGTGCACGCTGTTCGCCGACGGCAATGTTCTTGTCAGGGATGATGCACTTGAGGCCCAGAGCAGACTGGCAAAATTGCAGTTAAGACTGGAGAATGTCGACTTGAGGCTTAGCTGGTCGAAATCCAACAGCTTTTCCTCGAATTCGGCGGTGCATCCGGTTTTACGAATATTGCCCTAAATAGTGTATTCCTACTGGTCGGCTCCGATTTTCAGTACCTCGCTTCGTTGACACAGAACGACGCCGAGACAGGTCGCGACGTTAAGAACAGGATAAGTGCAGGATGGATGAAATGACGACAAGTCACAGGCACTATTTGCGATCGGCGAATGCCCCTTAAGCTAAAGGGGGAAATATACAGTGATTAGACCTGTCGTACTGTATGGATCAGAATATTGGGCGAGGAAAAGAAAGGACGAATGTTCAGTGCATGCAGCGGAAATGCGAATGTTGAGATGGATGTGTGGAGTGACGAAATGATATAAAGAATGATCAGGGGAAGTTTGAAAGTGGCGCCAGTGACGGAAAAGATGAGGAGTAACAGGATAGCGTGGTATGGACATGTCATGTGGAGGAAAAAATGTCATGTGACGAGAAGAGTGTTAGGTATGAATGTGGATGGACATAAGGGGAAAGGAAGGTCGAAGAAAAGATGGATGGATTGTGTGAAAGATGACATGGATAAGGTATGAGTATGGAAATGACGGCTGACAGGGAAGACCGGAAGAAAATACACGTTGTGCCGACCCCATCTGGCGTGCGATAAGGACGGTACTAACATCACTTACATACATTGACTTCTGTCATTCTTCTACTTACCAATAATACCGGCTCCGACAATAAGAATTTTCTTTCCAACTGAAATAGGTGAAGCGCGATCGAAGCCATGGGACACGCAAGAGTACGGCTCGCACAGACCCCCTGAAACCGACATTACCATAATTAATAAGAATTATATGTTATAAGCCAATGCTTATAGCATTGTCACATCCAAATTTAATTCGCACCCTTGCGTGCAGTCATCACACAAATTTCACAGGTTGCGGTTAGTTGGATCGGCATTGTACATTAGTTGGAGACAGATATAGGTGTCGTAACTATCATGACATCTATGTGGCGACGACGTAAGTAATTCCTATATAAAGAATTTCATGCCTACTCAACATTTCCTTCTGTTGCTGGTGGGTTTGCTTAGTGTGCAGTCGCGTTCCTGCGTTCCCGCCGAAAGCGACGAGGCTAAACACTGTCAGGTTTTCGACCGTACGAATCCGAAATAAACCTTCGCCTCCTCGGGTTGAGGGTATCCGTGAGCAATTCCTAAAGTTAAAATAAAAGGTCTACTTGTACTTAACAGCTGTAGCTTGCTGTAGGCGCCATTTGAAAAACATATCTCATGATAATGATTAAATAATGTTAAAATCGTAGTCAAAACACAACCACGCTTCACTCGAGAACTTAAGAAAAATCGGCACCTTGTTCAGTAGTAATTCCTTCTGGCAAAGCGAAAACCTGATCTTGAGGCACTCGGCAGTACTGAGCCCAGCCACCATCGCAAAAGACGCCTACGGTAGTTTTGACAGCTGCTGTTAGGCAAAAATGATAGTTGCCTTCTCGACAGAAGTTACAGAGGTTGCAGGCACTGTGAACAAAAGACAATGTGTTTTATTTGGTTATTGGTTGTTCTTCTTCTTCCTATCCTTATTATAGCTAGGATCGACACCTATGTATTTGTCTTTACCCTCCCCTATCGGCCGTCATTTTCGTACTCACACCTTTCTTATCCACGTCATATTTCACACATTCCATCCACCTTTTCTTTGACTTAACCCCTACTCTTACTTACTTACTTACTTTACTTCCCTCCGCATTCATACCTAACACTCTTCTCGTCACATTCTTTCCTCCGCATGATATGTCTATACCACGCTAACCTCCTCATAAGCCAAACTCCTCATCTTTTCTGTACTGATGTACTCATTACTTATCTTATCCTTGCCCGTCACTCCACACATTCACATTGGCTGTTATTGGACCTTGAAGTGGAATTTATATTGACTTCTAACATCAATGTTCTTGGATTCAGTACAAGAGATAAGTTTCCTTAAATTTTCGCTTTTTTGGTTATTTTTGAATATCTTTATAACTTCTCCTTGGTTGTGTGCGCTCAATCAAACTCATACCTATAATATCTAACACCGATTTAGATGAAACTGGTATCCTAAATGTACTCTTCGAAAGATTAAACCATCTAGCGCCCAAAGTGCAAATTGCTGCGGTACGAAGGCCGTGAATGTTCCAGTTGAAATTTAAACAAGTTAAAATATAAATAGCATTAACCAGAAATTCTTACCGATTAGGATCAACGACGACAGGCTGCCCTTTCTTGAAGATCGACTTCGGGCCAACGTCATGGACTACTCCGCTAAACTCGTGACCCAAGGGAAACGGACGTACTTTAGACGAAGGAAACTCGCCCTGTTTGAAAAATAACAGTTGAATGTTAAACATTGCCAGTAATGTTTCTATTTATCAGATAGACTGGTCTCAAACTCAAAGATTTTCTGTGTTGTGGGTTCTCCAATAACGGGAACTTTGAGCGCTTATTCAGGATACCCAGGCCAAACAAATTAGGATGCACCAAATTTGGAACCAGGAACCTATTCGTCTAGAGCAAGGTCGTCGTAACTAAAATTTTTCTTAATATCCATTTTTCCTTCCAGAAAGTTATGAACATGAGAAAGAAAAGAAGATATTCTTGAATTTCTTCTGTAACCAGGAAATTTCAGGAGATTTCAACTATACCAGTCACCCAAGTTAAGACTATTGTCTTTCAATTTACTTACAGAAACAGAAGTGGTTTTAGTCAGCCAATATTGCCAAGCCTTAAAGAATACCCTCATTAGAAGACCACGAATTATATATATAAAAATAACATAAATTAGATGGCTAAAACTGAATCTGAACTGCCCAAGATAAACCAAAAAATTGAGAAGAAAAACGAGAATCAGAGAAAAGTCACAAATTAGATGGAAAATTGATATTATTAAACTGGCGAACCATATCTGGATTTCTACTGTTAAAGATAGCAAGAGAAGGGAAGAGAGGAAGGAAACCTAAAGAAAAATAAGAAATATGAAAGTTATTGCCACTGGATAATCAGAATTGAACGGCGTACCTGAATAATATGCAAATCTGTGCCACATACACCAGAGTATTCAACTTTCACGATAACATCGTCATCGTTGACGATCTTCGGCATCGGATATTTGTTGTCATACTTCAGGGTTAAGGTCTTGGCGTCGAATATAATTGCCTCCATTTGTGATGTTGGTTTCTAAAAGAAATAATATTATTGTTTTATACAAAGGTAACGTTCTCGCTGACTGTCAAAAACTTGGATCATACTTCCTAAAATTATGGAAAAAGATACTTATTTATACCGTTGTAAGCCGATCGATTTCAAGGTAAAAGGAAAAATGAGATGATGACCTGAATGTGGCAATTTTAGGAGTCCTGTAAAAACGATTACACTTGGAACCTTAATATGTTGTACTTTCACCAGAGCATCCGTTTATCTCTGACCGAACCCTCCTGTCGTAGTCTTAGGGTGAATTGTGTGTGATTTCTACGTAATTTTTCAGGACGAAGATAAAAATGTGGTGTAAAATGTAGTAAATATTATTCCTCCTCAGATACTATATTACTATAATAGTTAAGCAAGAACTTCACAATTTTTTCTTCAACAAAAAACATTAAAAACGAGCTACGTGAAAACGCATTTGAGAGGTTTTCACTCTAAGGCGACGCCATGTGGCCCAAGTCGAGGCCTCTCACAAAAATTGTATTTTAATATTTGTACCATGGGAATACTCTAGGAATGTCATGCACAAAATGTTCGTAATTCTAAAAAAAAAGAATAGATAGCATGGCGCCTACACGATATCCAAAGTTTTCTATCACAGAAACTATTAGGTGCTTAAAGCTGTGTCACAAAGGGCGTTTTTCATGAAGATGGCGGATTCAAAATGGCGGTCTATAAAATTAAAAAAAAAATTATTTAAAGGCTACAGCCAATCTTTCTACTCAAGTAGCCTGTGGGTGAGGTATACGAAACGTGCCTATAGCGTCCTCCGCGTTCAAAATAACAACGCATTTAGAGCCCTCGGCCATGTTTGCGGAGGCTCACACGGACAGCTTCCAGGCCGTAATCCGGAAAATTATTGTTTCGCTGTTGAGTCGCGTGAGGCAAAGTCTCAACAGCATTGTAAGTGCAATATCCGGAAGTTTTAACTGTCCAATAGTAAAATTCTGGATAGAGTGAACTAAGGCCAAGCCCAGTTTAGTGTAGTTATAAATTAAGTCTGTACTGTATTATACGTGGGGCGCACTACAAGTTTCCGAAATGAATAAGAAAAAAATACTATAGATGGTCAGAAATGAATTTATTGTTTCTCTAAATATTCTCCGTTAGCGTTAATGCACTTTTTCATACGAATGAACCAATTTTGATAACATTTATGCCACTCCTCCGTGATAATCTCGTACATATTTTTCATACTCTTCGACAGCCTCTTCAGGTGATGAAAATCGTTGACCGCGTAACTGGTTCTTAATTTTTGGAAATAAATAAAAGTCACAAGGTGCCAGGTCGGGGCTGTATGCGGGATGGCTCATAGGGTCAATGTTGTTCAAAAATTCATTTGTCTGTCTGGCCGTGTGAGAATTGGCATTATCGTGATGCAAGATGATACGGCGTTTACGGTTATTTTTACGGACTTTGTCAATAACTTCCGGCAAACAAATGGTCGTGTACCAACCACTATTCACGGTACAACGATTCTCCAAAGCAACAGTAGCCACGTGTCCAGTTTTATTGAAAAAAAAGAAGCAATCATTCGCTTAGAGACACTTTGTTCGCGCGCTACTTTGGTTGGTTTCGGCTCATCTCGAAAGACCCATACGCTCGATTGCTGCTTTAATTTGGGATCGTAACTCTAAATCCATGTTTCGTCACCTGTTACTATGTCCCACACCAAATTTGACGTCCCTTCGTTGAATCTGGTAAGCATGGCATTGAACCAAGTGACGCGATCGGTTTTTTGAGCCTCAATCAAATTGTGTGGGATCCACCGAGAGCACAGCTTTTTCACACCCAAATGTTTGTGTAGTATTGATTGTATTTGACTCATGACTATGCCTAAAGATGCCCGAATCTCATGGTCACATGCCTGTCAGTTTTGATCATACGGCGCACAGCATCGATGTTTTTATTGTTCACAGCAGTGGATGGGCGATCATCACGAAATTCGTCACTGAGATTCACACGACCGCGTTGGAATTCTGCCAACCAGCTAATATAGTCGTCTTACATGGTGCTTCATAACCAAAAGCAGTTTGAAGCCGAGCGAAGCTCCGCTGAGCTGTTAAATCACACTTAAAGTTGTAGAAAATCATACTACGGCAATTTTCACGAGTGTGCGTGAGTGTGTGCGTTATTTATTTATTTAAATTCTCGTACTAACATACTATGGATATTTTTAATCGTCCGAAATAATGGATTACGCCTGTCCGTAGCAGTTGCAGTGTCACACAGAGCTTTGAATCGCAAAGATCTGAGGGGCACTGACACTGCGCCCGTCATCCTGAGACATAAGTTGTCAAGTCTTATGTGCTTGTAATTTCACCAGCACCTTTAAAACCAAAACGAGCCCATCAGATCTTCGTGATTTAAAGCTCTGAGTGGCACTGTAACAGCTATGGACAAGCGTGTCTCGTCATTGTATCATAAAAAAATAACATCATCGCATTTGCACCACTCGATGAAACATTTGTTTTCTACTCAAACCGTCTCTACAAACGTATTCAAGTGTTTTTAATATTGCTTATCAATCTCTTGGACTTCTTCCTCTTATTTACGCGCAAGGCCAAACCGCACCCATGTGTTATCTCTAGTCACGTTTTAAATCAATGTACGAAAACGTACAACGCTTCTATAATCACACGTTCCATTGACTGGCTCTAAAAACCACTCGGCGAGTCACGAGACGAATAACGACTGTATTACGAACGATGCATTCGCTTCAACGACAGCGACGGTTATATTCAGTGTAAGCTAACTAGTGTTGTAAAAAACATTTCTTTTTTAGGTTAAAAAAACAATGAAAAAATCTATTTTTTTGAAGACCTGAAAATAAAAATACGACAGCGGCATACCATATTTTTTAACTGACTTGAAAAAAAGGAGGAGGTTCTCCATTCGACTGTATTTTTTTTTGTATGTATGACATGCGATGCGACGCGAACGCCGTATTTGTGCACCGATTTTCATGATTCTTTTTTTGTTGGAAAGGGGGTACCTCCATAGTGGTCCCATTTAATTTTGAAGAAAATCATCCACCTCTAAGAGTGGCTGTTCACGCATGAAAATTCATTTTTACAAATAGCGACTAAATTTTATTAGGATTTAATATTTTAATGGTTGATTTTGCTATTCTCTAATTCAAGGCGTTTTCCTCTCTCAATATACTTTGAGTAGTGAGAACCGATTTTTATTATCTCCTGTGTCGAGTTCCGTATAGTGGCGAACTAGGGGATGAATCCAGGCAAAAAACTTGGCAAATAGATGGAATTCCACGTACTTTTGAAGGCCATGTTTTTTAGTACTCCGTACTGATTAAAAGATATTTTTTTAGATTTAATTTGGCCCTCCACCTCTTTTGTTAAAATTGTTCTTCATACTTATATTAGACAATAACTCACTGACGTCTATATCTATATGGACTGGATGTTTCCCAATAAAAAACAAACCCTAATCATTGTTTCGTTTATAATTAAATTGAATTCAGTGCAATGCAACTAACTCTTCGTCGTTGTTGAGTGTCACGTTATCATTTAAATTAGAAATCCAAATTTTACAGTATTCATTAAGTAAAATCACCACAGACGATGTCTTATTTAATTTCAGATATTTTATTTTACCTTTTCTGAAAAAAAAACTATTTTAGAAAAACAACGAACGTGTTGCGTTTTTTATTCATGTTTTTTTTGTTCAAAAATATGAAATTATTTTTATAACATTGTTGAATCACGTAACGCATAGACGTCTTTTTGTCGTTTAAGAATGTCAATTCTTACACTAAAGTCATTATTATGTTAAGAAGAATCGTAACGTTTTTATGAAAAACACGAAAAATAGAAATAAGGTAGCTGTTTTTGACAATCGTCTTCACAAAGTCCCAAATTCTTTTAAGAGGCGACGTATCGCTTCTATATAACAAAATCCCGGTTAATATTCAAAATTAACCATTCACCAGGATTAAAACTATAATGAAGCAAAAACTTTATACCAAAGGTTATTTATTAGCTTCTGCATACTTTGATAACAAAAATCCTTGGTAGTGATCACAGACCACATAAATACTAGTAAGTGATATTTGAAAAAAATATCGTAGATGATAAATGTATTCAAATTAATATTTACAAAGAGCAACTCCTACAGTTTCTTGCTCATTCAAGTGTAATTTGCTGACCTATGAAATAAAGATTATTAATTTGAGATTGAGTTTTATATCATTGTCGGTTAACGTAGTGTTCATACTTATAACCGGGTTACTGGAAACCGGAGAAACGCGTAATTCCGTCAGTTAGTCGGTTCCAGAAAACGAGTTCTTAGATCGAGAACGGATTTAAGGAACCGTAATTACAATACACGTCGAAATGATAAACCTTGCAAGAACACTGTTGCGTATTTATTACAAAGTGTTTTCTTTCATCGAAATTACTACACAATTGGTTTCGAAAATGAAAAAATAATAGTTAACATATATGTGCCCACTGTTGGGCTCAGACCTCTTCTCACACAATACGAGTTAGAAAATCCTATTGAGTATATAACCAGAAATAGAAACGAAATAAGGGCCGTCCATCACTAGCACCTCAACAGGCAAATTAGCATTATATTACTTTTAAATATCAACCTCGTTTGCGCTGAAATCACAAATTAGAAAGCTGAAATAGTACAGCGCCAACAACTGACCTGCGTGTACGTCTTCGTATATTCCAAAAATATTCTGTATTTATTGTACCTAATAAAGATAATATCTCTAACAATGGGCGGGTTCCGTTTGGTGGTGTGGGAAAAATATCAAAATATATAATTACAAAACAAACGTAATCACACTTCATCGGTAATTAAATCTTAAATATGTAATTTTTTGATTTTCGTCCATTATAGCAACGAGCGACGACACCCGTCAATTGTTTCGAATTCGGGCTGGCCAATCGGAGCGCAGTTATCACCGTAACATGGCAGAATAGTTTTCAAACAAATTACATGACATTTCGTCTCTGTTTCTAGTTTTATACTCGATGGAAAATCCACATACATCATTAAATTGCAAAGCAGATCCTTACGATGTTTTCCTTCACTGAAAAAGTTCTATAAGCCCCCGTCTAATTGAAGAACACATGTTAAATTCTTCACAAAAAAATAATTTTAAGTTACATTTTTTTACTGTATGAAACGAACCGGTCCGGATTCGACGAATCCGGTTGGTCTTCCAGCAAAGCGTGACACGATCCCGATTCAGAATCAGATATTTTAACAGAATCGATCGATTGGATATCGTTATCCAATAGCGTTTACGGAGTTACTCGGTGAAATAGATTATAGGAAAAATTTAAATCCTTTCTATACAATTTTAAGACTTTAAAGGCCTGAAATATAGGAATGCATTAGTCTTGCACTAAAATAAATTAATAAAATTGAACAAAATCCAGACTTTATTTAAAATAATAAGAGATTTCCATATTACATTCTTACTTTGTAAACAATAGGACGGTCGGTAACTTTCATTCGATAACTATGTTCTGAATAACGTTTGCAGCCTTTGCCGGTCGAGATGTTCGAGTAATCATATGGGTGTGACGTCATTTCGGTTCGGTGTCGAAAACGACAGTTTGATGTTCGATTCGGTTGCTGTGAATAAAAATGAAAAGAAATCGGTCGACAACGGAGTTGTCGTAAGGTACTGAATCGACCCCTAGATGCTATGACAACTAAGCCTCTACACGTACCAGCGGACTGTCGGAATTTTTCTATGTGTTGGTTAAAGAACTGGCTATGAACCGTGAGTAGAGGAGAAATCTACACCGACAAGAGTTTAGCTCTTAAATAAGATGAAGTGTTGCAGATATTCCTTTTTTGGTTTTTAACGATTTTTTTTGCCATAGGGTCATAATGTCGTCGCCTGATTTCTCATCTATTTCTTCACTCAGCCTTATATCAACAAATTTTTTTGTCTTTCAAATAACTTCTGATCGACATAAATGTCATTATTGACCTTGAATTTAATTTAGGTTGTCCGCCAACACAATAAACAACGTACGCCGCAGATGGCAATAGCAGAGCGCATGTTAGTTAACGAGTATTTAATATACGACCATATTTTTCCTTTTGACTACTAAATACATGGTCAGGGTTACCGATTACACTTCGAGAACCGTAGCATCAAGGCAAAGTTCTTGACGAACTCCGTGATCCAGTGGCTTGAACACCGGTTTTCATGGTGTCGCCATTTCTGAAGTCCCGTGTTCGATTCCCGGCCAAGTTCAATGTAGAAACTATTTTTAACCGACTTCAAAAAAGGAGGAGTTCTCAATTCGACTGTATGCTTGTATGTGTTCGTGGAATTACATCTATTTGCCAAGTTTTATTGAAGTCGGTTACCGGAAAGTGCGCGAAACCGGATTCTTCCCCTAATTTGCCACCCTTAGTGGTGGAATATTTTCTTCAAATTTAAATGGTATCAATGCAGAGGTACCCTCTTTCCAACGAAAAATAATCATCGCAATCGGTTCACAAACGATCGCGTAATTTTCCCCATTAGTTCACTTTAAGGTCACTAGATGGCGCCTCTAGGTAAAATTATCAAAAAATATAACATCATAATGTTTTTTAGTAATACAGTCGTAAATATGACTTTAAATGATTGTGATTACTCTCGGCATCATAAATTATCTTATTTTGATGGATTATAGTCGTATAGCGTCCCAACGCTGGAACCATCTGCAAATTTCTCGTATTTGCTCGGATACTACCATGAAATACAATTATTTTTTTGTGAAATTACTCCAGTAGTTTGTTATAATTATTAAACAAAGATTACTTCGATCCGGCTGGATTCGAACCAACAACGCCTTCAGCGTACCTATGCCTGAGGCTTACGGATTAAAAAAAAACTATGGAAGTGCCTTAAGCATCGATTACTTTGAGAACCGATGTCGCCAAAACTCACACATTTTTATTTTGAAACACTACAAAATCTTGATATTGATTGGTCACAGATACAAATTTAATAAATAATCTCTCTAAAGTCTATTTGCTAAGTTTTATTGAAATGTCCCCTAGTTCGCCACTATACAAGACTTGACACTGGAGATAATAAAAATAGGTTCTCACTACGACACTACACAAAGTATATTGAGAGAAAAACGCCTTGAATTGGAGAAATAGCAAAATCAACCATTAAAGTAATTGCTCCTAAATTAAAGTTAGGCGCTATTTATAAAAATGAATCTTCATGCGTGAACAGCCCTTCGAGGTGGACGATTTTCTTCAAAATGAAATGAGACCACTATGGAAGTACCCCCTTTCCAACAAAAAAAGAATCATGAAAATCGGTTCACAAATCACAAAAAAAAAGAACATACAGTCGAAATGACAAAATCTGGATTGTTAATATAATTTAAAATTTACCCTGTTGGCACCATTGACTTACAAATAAATGGACGACGGGTCTAATACAAAAACCTCGAAAAAATGTCCCAAGTCAACCTATTCGAAATTTAAATTGTTATGTCATCGCAGTATCGCGCTGTCCGTAGAACAAATGAAGACTAAAGCGGAGTGTCGCGCTCTGTATACGAATTTAGCGCCTTACAAGTGCGGACACTTTTTAGCGCGGACCCGACGTCCATATAATTGTAAGTCAATGGTTGGCACAATCAATATCTATTATTACAAGTTACGACGTTTTGATATTATATAGAAATTTCAATCAATGTACTATCTTCTAGCGGTTAATTGCTGAACGACGAGTTGCAGGGGTATAAGCTTCACTTTCGTTTCTTGTAACAAAAAAAAAAAATTGATAAACAGAAAATTGAAAATTTATTAAAATAAAACTTTTTGCGCTCCAAAACAGCACAATGAGGCATTTGCACGAAAGAATGACATAACCATACCATATAAAGCGAACATGGCAGACTGAGCTTAAATAGGTCTTTTGAGACCTATAGTTCTGTGCTTGACGCTCTCCCTACTGAGCTACGGAACGAACTCGCATGTTTGTTGCAGATCTTTGTTTTTTATTTTTCACAACTTTTTACCGTAGCGCCATCTGTGAGAAATCTAGAAAAGTTTTTCATCACTCAACCAGGTACCTTTACAACTACACGCGACTGTTATATATCTAGTTATATATTAATTTCTCACCATAACACAGCTACGTCACACTAATGTGAACGTTTGGATATTTATTTACTAACCTCCATATTGGTGTAACGATAGGAAGTACTTCGCTAGCATTCACATGGTTAATGCTAATGACGCAAAGTTGCCGCAATCACTTTTTGTGTTACAGTGGTTAAAGGTCAAAGTTAAATAGCGACGTTTAACTATGAGTTTAAAATATAAACACAGCCCACTAACCTGCTCGTGCGCCGACTGTCAATGACACGGACAAACTGAAGCGAATATCATAATTTAGTGCGAAAAAACACACCGTGATAAATTATCGTTACTCACTAGGGTAGCCATGATGTTTTAAAATGTAGAATTGCTTGGACTTCATTGTATCTTTGTAACATGTTTTGCTGGCATAGTTCCCTCTGTATATTCTTCTTTGCCATTGTTTACAATATTAATAAATAAAAATACATTCATTCATAGACTTGGAATTACTAATTATTGTACTGAAGGGGCGATAGGTGGTTTGAGTATGTGTGTGAGCGTGCGTGTGTGTTTGTGTGTGCGCCAGTTCCTGTGGGTATGACTATGAGTGTGAGTCAAGTGTGAGATTTATTTTTATAATACCAAATGACGGGACGAACAAATCGCATGGTGTGCACCTAGTGGTAAGCGACACGCCTGTCCATAACAGTTGCGGATAGTTGCAGTGCCATTCAGAACCTTAAATCGCAAAGATCTTAAGGACACTGCCACAGCGTCGCTCACCCCGAGATTTAAGTTGACAAGTCCCATGTGCCTGTTCCCTGAAAGGAAGTCTGTCACAAGGAGGTCAACAGCTATTGCAATTACCACTATTGTGCTGAATGGACGATAGGTGATTTCTGTGTGTGTGTGTGTGTGTGTGTATATATGTGTGTGTACATGTGTCAATTCCTGTGAGAACGACTATATTTTTTTATGATGTACCAAATGGCGGAACGAGCAAATCACCTGGTGCTAGTCGATACTCGGGTACATGGCATTTACATTGCCACATAGTTTTAAATCAAAAAGATCTTAGGGACTCTGCCACTGCGCCCGTCACCCTGATTTAGTAAGTACATTGTTTTATCTGTATGTAGCCTTGGAATTGTATAACAATACTTAACTATGTTTGATAAATTCAAAGATTATTCGAGCTGAAGTTATGTAAATTTTATTTAATAACAACAAATATATAATTTAAATGTGTTTATATAAAAGAGCGTCGGTAGCTCAATGGGAGAATGATGCCTCCACTTAACAGGTCGATGGTTCAAACACCACTATGAGGGCATTTATATTGTTATATATGTATATTAACAATATTAAGATGGTTTAATATTATTTAGTAGCAGTAGAGCTTCTTTTCAAAGAGTTCGTTCACCTTACCTATTTCAGTCGTGAGCATTACTGTGTTCTGGTTTTAAAGGGTTCTGGTGAAGTCTCAGGGTGACGAGCGCAGTGGCAGTGCCCCTAAGAACTTTATACGCAGCACTGTGTGACGATGTGACCTCCTTACATCGTCATCCCACCTTTTTCATCACCTTTTCTCTGGTTCCTGCAGGCAGATTTTAATTCAAATTGGAGTCGATGCGATCGGGTAGCCCATCCGAGTCTCCAAATCAGATGGGTTTCCGAGTGAGAAGATGAACCTGGTTCCTAGTATATCTTTCTAATTTGTGAGTTAAATCAGCTATTGTTCCGATTAGAAAATGTCAAAAGTTTCCGATCGGCCAGTTGTCAACCTCAATTATGCGCCTCGACTCGGAAGAGACGCAGTTTCCGATCGGGAGAGGTAATCAAAATCAAGCTGCTGGCCATTTGTTTTCAAATTTTGAGTCTGTAGGTTTTTATTTCTATGTATGTTACGCGATAACTCATGTGGCATTTGTGAACCGATTGTCATGATTCTTTTTTTGTTGGAAAGAAGGCACCTCCATATTGTTCCATTTCATTTTGAATAAAATCATGCACCTCTAAGGGCGGCTGTTCACGCATGACGGTTCATTTTTATAAATAGCGCCTAAATTTTACTATAAGGAGCAATTATTTTAATGGTTGATTTTGCTATTCTCCAATTCAAGGCGTTTTTCTCTCTCAATATACTTTGAGTAGTGAGAACCGCTTTTTATCATCTCCTGTGTCAAGTCCCGTATAGTGACGAACTAGGGGATGTATCCGGGTTTGCGCACTTTCCGGTAACCGATTTCAATAAAACTTGGTCATTTATTTTGAGGTCGGTTTTTTTAGTACTCTGTACTAAGATTATTTCGTCACAGCCTGCTCAGTCGCGGTAGCGAGTATGTCGGCTGTAATTTTCGATTGCGTCTAATTTTGATCCTTTTCAGTTTTCAACCTAAATGATGTACCAATTTTAATGTTAATACCAATCTGTAATCCTGTATAACTCGGCCCTTTTGGGGTAAATGTCTTAGGGTCGTATTCCAGAACTCTATTCAATGCTCAAGTCAGGATCTGAGTATGATTTCAAGCACTGGAAATACGACCCTAATGGCAGGGACTTGAGTATGATTTCGAGTGCTTTAAACCATACTCAAATCCTGACTTGAGCATTGAGTAGAATTAATAGTTCTGGAATACGACCCTTAGTAGTTTAAGTCGTGAGTAGTTCATCCATAAGCATATGCGTATGTAATTAAGTTAGGGAGTGTTTTATAGTATTATACCTGTGTTTTTATATACCTTTTCTTGTTACAGCCTTACCTTTGCTTTTCTTTAACTAGCGAATACATTTTTGTGTACCGAAGTATCCTATTTTATTACGTGACCAGGATCACGGCACGTTAGGGTTTACAACCTTTTCAACTGTAACCTTAGAACGATGCTACACGATGCGTTTGTGGCGCTTGAGCGATGACACCGCATTGTAACATAATTACATGGCACATGGTCAGCGTTGCATTCCGGTTTTGAAGGGCAAGGGTGCTGGTGAAATTTCAACCACTTGTTAACTTATGTGCCCCTCAGATCTTTGCTATTTTAAGCTCTGAGTGGCACTGCAACTGTTACGGGCAGGCATATAGCTTATCATCAGGCGCACGAGCTTCTTCGTCCCGTCCCTTTCGGCTCGCGATCTCAGGGCCGCGCCGCGCGAGCTCGCGCCAACGCGCCTTAGGAATAGAGCTGACCAAGCGCGCGCGAACTCGCTTGTGACAGCCCGTCTCGGATCTGCAGCTTATCTGATGGTTATCATTTCATGTTTGACAGCCCAAGGAACACACTTTATACGCCTTAAAACTGTTATATCTTAAACAGTCTTAATATGGTATAGATTTAGATAATAGTTCTCTATAAATGGTTTCAGAAAAATGAAATTGTTCTTATAAACTTATTTCACTCAAGTCAAGATTTTAAAACCTTCTTAATACCAAAGAACTTAATTAAGTGTAATCTCTCTTAAGATTTGCTCTTATAGTCCTTATTTTAAGTTCATCTGTAGAACAACTGATTATTTTTAGTAAAATTGTGCTATGCAAATCCAGTAAAGCCTATTAATACTCTAAAAACTAGTGTTCTTAAGTTTATTCTAGATATATTTAATTTATAGACATTCTGAAGTGTTTCTATTTATGACAAACACGTTATAGCGCGTCTTCCGTAGATTTTATTTTTAAAAATACTGCAATTAGGGTTTTTACTCTATTGGACGTTGTGAGAGTTCATGCAAAATGGATAAAGTAAAGAATATTAAAAGATCTGGTGGAGGTGGTGAACCTTGGATATTAAGTCACATCATTCGATACAATCAGCGTTACCAATGCCAATTGTTCAAAATCCCCAAAAATCACGGTTAAAATCCCCAAATTTGGGGAGAACAATGTTCGTATTCCCCACAAATTCCCCACATCTCGAATTTTCATTATTTATTAAAAATACAACGCTTAAAAATATAATAAAGAATTAAGAAAATCAAAATGTAATAATCTATTACGTTTGCTGTGAATATAAAATGTAAAACTAATTTTAAAATTAGATGACCTTTAAATCGTTTATTTATTTTAATTAGATTCAACATTAATCTGTTATCAGTCTTTGAAAAAAAAAATCATTTTTCTTTGCCTTACAAAATTAAGTAAATTGATTATTTGTAGTGCATTTGGTGACACTATGTTAATGTTAGAAATAAACAATGAGTTTCGACCTATATTTAATATTTAAAGTTGACGAGTTGTGGTGTGAAAGTACTAACTGCTCGGCTTTGTTTATCAATAGCTGATTTCGTTTTGCTTGATACCAGGGACCGGCCTAAGCGGGAGAAAGAATCGCGAACTCAACACGCACCGACTGGTAATTTTACAATTCAGAACCAAGTGCTCTAATAATAATTCTATTTAAGCTGCTTGTTAATAATACGAGGGATGTGCGATGTTGAAAAACACGTCGTTATAGTCCATCACATTGTTTCTAACAGTAACGATCAAACTAGCGATGCATCAGCAATTGATAACAAAATGATAAAATATTAGAATCCCCATATTTTCCTCACTCCCTCACACCCCAATCCCCACAAAATCCCCAATCTAGTTGAAATTCCCCACAAATTGGCAACCCTGGATACAATAGTCGTAATTCGCGCACGAGCCGGTTTTTGTTTGTTGACAAATAAATAAACATTGAGAAATAATTTCATGTTCTGAAATGATAAAACCAATTGAAATGAGCGCGTAAACTATTGTACTTCAATGTTGTACATGTGTGTTGTGCCGTCTATCAATAGAATACAGTGAAATCATTGTGTGAAATGTGGTTGACTTGAAGAAATAACCTCAATTTTGTAATGAAAATTTTATTTCTTCCAACATAAGTTAGGTATGTCATTAAAATATTCCTTATATTTATATGATAGGGAATTAATCCACCTTTATAGTCATATATAACACATTCCATATGATTATACAGAATAACGTTTTTTGCGACAAATTAGATTTTTTTAAATTGTTTTTATGACCTAGTCTTTTGATAATCTCAGTACAGAGTACCTACTAAAAAAACCGACCTCAAAAGTACGTAGAATTACGTCTATTTGCTTAGTTTTGTAGAAATATCCTTAAATTCGCCACTATACAGGACTTGACACTGGAGATAATAAAAATCGGTTCTCACTACTCAAAGTATATTGAGAGAAAAACGCCTTGAATTGGAAAAATAGCAAATTCAACCATTAAAATAATTGCTCCCTAAGTAAAATTTAGGCGCTATTTATAAAAATGAATCTTCATGCGTGCGTGAAGAAGTGGATGATATTCTTCAAAATGAAATGGGACCACTATGGAAG